ACATTTTTGATTTGTCTTCATATTATTCTTATCTTCTTCTATTGATTTTTTGTCTTAATCCATACCTGGGGTTGTCATAAATATATGTATTCTGTTTGCCCGATTACGTGATACTTAGCTTGTACTGTCATGATGATGATATTATTATTATTATTGTTGTTGTGGTGGAGGGAAAGGCGCTTAAAATAAAAAGATAAAACTTTCTAAATTCAAATCAATTTTTGGAACTGTTCAGTGCAACGATAGTCATCATAGCGATAAATCAAATTTTTGATAGAAGTCATTCGTTTGTCCGCGGTTTTGGTATTTATGTTACAATTAAATAACAGCGACAAAAAAAAAATAGAAAGAAAAAAAAGTTAATAAAAAAGAAAAGGAAGAAAAATGATCAATTATTTCAATGGCGATAAAAAAAAACAAGCAATAAAGAGTAAGCGTTAAACAGGAAGAGTTATCTCCCATACACCATATAGTTTAAATACATTGCTACCACCCTTCGCCTGCTTTCCAAACGTTATCTTCATTCTTATTTTCCGTCATATGTAAGGAAACAGGATACACCTTCCTAGTCTCTGATAACGAAGATTTGCCATTTCAAACAGACTTTCTTTTTTCCTCATTGTTTGTAGAAATAACGTCTGTTCATTTTATTTAATTTTATAAATTTTCCACTTTGCCTGATAATTCACTGACAATCATTATTTATTCAAATAACATTTTTAAATTTTGTGTCACAAATATTGTCTCAATTAAAAAAGATAATTTAAAAAGCATAAAACAAATCCTGTCATGAATGAATAAATGCTAGACTTGTTAAAAATTATTTGTCCATCAGGATAAAAAGTAACTTCTCTTCTTTTATGCACTGTGTTCGTTCAGGACGTAGACGATCATGGTTCTCCACAACCTCCTATCCTTTGTAGCTCTTGGTAAGGTTTATCTTTTCATTTTCTCTCTCAATCCTTGTTCTGCCAATCCTTTTACACAAGCTTGTTAAATAGGTTATTCACTACTTTCCTCTGTCTTGCCTAAAATATGTCCTGTGGGTGACAGCGATCTTTCCACATTGTGTTCCAACTTTCTCTTTCTGATTCTAAATATAAGTATATTTTTGTTTCCATTTTGCTTAAAACTTCCTTGTTACTCACATGTTCACTCCATGGTATTCTCAGCATCCTTCTGTTGCTATATTTCACTGGTATAGAGGAGGACTGATATTCCATAACAGCTTAGTACTCATTTCCTTGTTTTTAACAAAATGTTCCTGTTAACACTTTGACTAGAAGCAACTACCATATTTGATGGCATATAAGATGCACTTTTTTGACAGCATATTAAGTGCACTTTTTTTTACTAAAAATACCTTTTAAAATTTCCCTGCATTGCCATATGTAGGTTTACTAATTTTACTAATTACTAATTTTTTCTTGATTTGCCCTGCTAAAATAGGGGTGCATCTTATATGTTGTCAAATACGGCATTCACTATTGCAATGCACCATTGGATTTCAGTGTCACATTTTCTGTCCTCTGTTAGAACACTTCCGAGATATTTTGATTTTTGACATCTTCAATTTGTAGTTTGCCTCTTAGGCTGCTCCTCATGCTGACAACCATTTTTGGGCAATATTTAAACTTTGTGTCTACAAAAAAATGCTGTGTCAAAAAGATAGTTATTTCCTTGATGTCACTATTACTGTAAGCACTTTTGACTCCCTAGGTAATATTTATTGTTTTAAAAAGCATGTATTAGAAAATTAATAAAACCCAAACATATGAAAGTAAATTTGTGCATTTTCTTTATTCTTGAGAATTGACAACAATAGTTCATTGATATTTATGTAAAATTATGAGTAACAAAAAATTGTTTTCATAGCTATTTATAAAATGGTAAATAATAAATATTGCATTGTAGTTGGTTTACATGTTTTAATAAATTTCTTCAATAAAAATACTTCTTTTCAAATTTATTTTTTATAAAACAGTAAATAGTAAATTTTTATAAAAGGTAAATAATAAATATCACATTGTATTTGGTTCATATAATTTTATAACATTGTAGAAGGAGTCAAAGTATGTCAGTAATAGCAGTGTCAAGGGAATAACTGTCTTTTTGACACTGCTTCTTTTTTTTGTGGACCTGAAGATTAAACTTTGTCCATTTTTTATGAATTTTAAAAAATATAAAATGACATCAATTTACATGTCTATTATTCTAAAATCAGAATGATATTAATTAATTAATCAAAGGTTTCATTATTTAATAAACTGAAATTTCCTATAAATTATGACATCTGAAGGCTCAACAGTTCAGATAAGAATTTGTCACAGACTATTGGATTATAGTGATGAAGGCTTGTGTAGAACCAGTAAAATTGTGCCCATGATACTACAAAATCTCCAAAGATGCCTCTTCAGTTTTGAATTCAGCATTTTCTTTCTAGATAGTTAACACCCAAGCCCAGTGTGCTTTCCTGTTTAACCCATAGCTGCAAGATGGATTCATGCCTTTTCCAAGGGCAATAGCACAAAAATAAATGAAATGGAATTCACTGGAATTTGAACTTGGTATGCTGATTCCATTTTCCAATCTAATATCTTTTATACAACCCACACATCCATATTTAATGAATTTGTTAGATTAGTATGCTGATTTCTGTTTTTATTTTGGTAAGCCATTTGTAGTCTACATAAGATGTAAAATGGAATAAACAACATCTAAAATAAAATATAGTATTTTGTCAATCTTGAAATAAAAGATGCTGGGGTTATAAAAATCTTTGTTGAAATATTTTCACATTTTCTCTGACACTAAATTAAAAATAGAATTTATCATCTTTAGATTGATTTTGATACAGTTTAAATTACTTGAATTCTGAGAGGAAGTATTCTGCTTTTTTTTATCATAACTTTCCAGCTTGAATCTTTTCAATAGTAAGTAGAGGGAAAATAAAATCAAAGAAGTCATTTCCGATATGACTTGAAACTGAATTCTATAAACTGTTACTTGTTTTTCATGAATCATGTCAGTCATGTAAGCTTATAATCATACAGAGGATAATCATACTGTGAACTGTTCATTCCAAATCAGCAGCCATATTGTTTGTAAATTTCTTTACTTACTTTTTTTTTGTAGGGCAAATTGAATGATGTGAAGAAGAAAAAGAAGAAAAAGAAAGAAAAGTAGATGGATAATTTAAGGAAGGGGAATGAGATAATGAGGAGAGGAGTAAAGAAAAAAGAAAGATGAGAATAAAAAGGTGGAGAAAAAAAGAGACAAAGAAGAGGATAAAAAACATAATAATTAATAAAGATGTCTGATGATGATAATTTAAATATATATTAAAAAACACATATTAATCCTCAGAATAGCTCAAACTAGGTCCAATTTAGTCAAATAATACCGTCCGACATGATGTGCATCCTAATCAACATACAGTAAGTCCGCAAGTTATGATAGTTCCAACCTACAACAGTTTGTGGTTACAACGCAATCTCCACTAATCTTGTTGTATACCATATTGGATTTTTGTGCATTCACTCTCATTTGTTTGTGTTGTGATTGTGGAAAGTTATTGCCTTTCATTATGGCTCCTAAGCATAGTGCAACCTCTTCTGATGGTGGCACTTCGAAGAAAAGGAAAGCCATCACATCAAAAGTGAAATTAGACATAGTTAAATGCTCTGAAAATAGCAACAAACACTGGCCGGTTGCTTGGTATAAGTTGTTTGATTGTCAAAACAATTATTATGTTAACATATGTCATATAAATGTATTGCTATGTCCTAGATTATCACTTTACTATTGTGTTAGTATTGGTGAGTGATTTAAGTGCTTATTCATAGAAAATCATAGGTATGATCTGGTTTGCACAGAAAATCATGATACAATGGATTGTAGGAACAGAACTCTGTCATAAGTTGAGTATCTCCTGTACTATGCAAGATATCTGATAACTTCTCTCAATGACATGATTAATGAACCTATTCTCCATTGTATGTATATGTCATGTATAGGAGGATAGTGTTTTAAACAGAGGTCTGAGTAATGTTAGTACACCTCCTATTTTTGTCAGTGTGCAATGTGCATTTTCCAGCAAGATAATGCCTACCTGCATGATACCCATGCTACTCAATGTATTCTGCAAAAGATGTCACTAGACATGTTACCCATTGAAGGTGTATGGGACATGATGGGATGACACCTGACTCATTCAGATAACCCACTTACATCTTTTCAGATAGGAAGCTTTATCATAAATATAAATAAAGCTGTCACAAATAAATAATTAAATTTGATCAAATATCATAATCATAAACTTTTATGATAAATAACATTAAGCTCTCATAAATGTTCTATCATATATCATTATAAGTTGTATCATAATCTATTTATGATGCAAATATTTTTCATGTAAAAAATCAACTCAGCTATAGATAAAATTATTAGGGCTGCCTTTTTTTTTTACAATGATGTTTACCCTGAACAAGGCCCAAGAGCCACGCGAGTAAGAGGGTTACAGAGTAAGAGGCACAGTTTATGGGGGGATGTGAGGAAGATAACAGTTCTGTAGAGCAATTAATCTAGTTGAAGGACAACTCTGAATTAAAATCCATGGAGAAAGCATATGAGCACGAATTCAGTAACTTTCTCAAGGACAGTTGTAGTTATCTGCAATTTACAAATACCAAAGGAAAGGAAGCTGTGGAGAGCCATGATCACCTATATCCTTAAAGTACATGATTTAAAAAAAAACTTCTAAAAGATTCATCCAGCTCTGTGGTGATAACTGCAGACATCAAAGAATGCTTTGATCTCTCTAAGTGAAATTAAGCAGTACTGCTTAAGAGCAGTGTCCAGGCAAATTGCACTTTGTAAGTTTCACTAGCACATATGATCTGAAGTTTACAAAAAAACCTTGTATTGACAGGATGAAGTTGAAATGATTTAGGGGTTGGAAGTAGGGTTATCAGGGATGGGAAGAAAGACAAAAAAGGTCTTTACCTGTCATAGTCTAGAATTCCGCTGCTTTTCTGCATGCATTCTTTGACAGCTTGCATCCCCTCTCGGAACCGTTGCTGTAGTCGTCGAGCATACAAAGATGCCCCTCCTTCACTTAGGTATCCACTTCCCGTATCGTCGCAACGCTGGCTACGCAGTATATCCCCATCGGATACGTAGCCAGATATGTAATCATAGGTATCCATGTCGGAGGCATAATCACTTTCTATAGTACTCTGTCCTCCAGAAGACATGGCACGTTTTATATTAGCAGAACTGTAGTAGCCTCCTTGGTCCATGTAAGACCTGTTCATGCTCAGCCTGCTAGATCCACTCCCTCCACCTCCAGCGTACAAGGAGGTTGGCACAGAAATTCCTGGGATGTGGAAATTTTTGTTTGACGATGTTCCAACATAGCCCCTGAAGTAGCCATAAGGCATGGCTCGCATTATCGGGGGCATCGGTTTGATATCCATCGTCTCACCTGTATCATCAATAAAAGTCGTCTCTTTGTTATCTTTGTCTGTGATAATTGTCTCTTTGCCAGACTTTGTCACAGTTTCCGTCCTAACTTCCGTATCGAATGTCGTTTCTATCTTCTCGCCGTGTCTTGGCTGCACAATTGCGACATTATTCGCAGGCTTTGTGAGTTGTGAACTCAGAATTTTGACCCCGAGACGAGGGGAGTTTGTAGAGTTTGTAGTTGGCCTTTCGGCAGCTATCAGATCCTCGTAGTGTGATGTCTGCTGAATGAAACTCTCATTCTGACAGTGAATGTCTGTGTTCGACTTGTCTTGGCTTGCATTATCCTCACCCGCATTGCAATTTTCCTTGACCATATCCAGCTTTTTACCAGTTTGTCTCTGGAGAGCTGATAGATTAGTTTGTGTATTTCCATCAACTTTGGCCACAGGTGTAAAGGAATTGGGTGTGAGGGAGCGGGTAGGTTTCACTACATTTATGCTTTGCGACCCCGCTTCAGTACGGTCTCCACTACACTCCCTATCTTTGTTTTGCTGTGAATTTCGGTTCTGGCTGCTCCGCTCTGACTCGTATCCAACGGCTGGAACAGTCACTTCAACGTAGTGGCTACTAGACTTGCCGGGGATGCCTGTTTTTCCTACCATGGCTATTGGGCTTAGACCACGATTATTATGACCTTGGACTGCAGCTACTTGTCGTACACTAGGAGAGTTCAAAAAGTGGCCTGTCTGGTTGTACATCTCTCTGTCTCCAATGCAGACATCGGGAAGTTCTCGGTTCTGCACATGGTCACTGGGGATGCTAAGCAGCTGCTGTGACAGCTGCCCTTCGTCTGGGAGGGGTGGGGGTGGAGCCTGCTGGACGTTTAAATTCTGACGCGAATTTTTCGGCTGCCTGCTAGATGAAGAAGGGGCCAACAGTTGTGAATGTCCTCCTTTGTTGTTGTCACGCACGGCTGATGTCACCCTTACTCTCTCTTCTTTACCACTTTTGGCCGATTTTGGCTTCGGAATTCCGGTCGATGATGGCGGCGGAATCTGGGAGGTTGGGGCGGAAGGCTTGGACTTACCCCCTGATTTGGGGATCAGGCTGCTAATTTTGGAATTCTTTTTTGACCCACCAGAGTCATCATCTTTGGATTGGCCACTCTTGGCGTCACTCTTTTCTTTATTGCCGGAAGACTTTTTCCCGGGGGGTGGAGAAACTTTACGAGTTACTTGATTTGAACAGTTGGGGCTGGGTGTGCGGGCTTGGGGTGATGGTGAAGGAGTACTGCGTTTAGATGTGTTGTCATCAGTGGATAATCCAGAAGAATCTCTCTTGGGGTTAAATGGACGACTTAAACCTTTCTTGGTTATTTTTGTTGTGGGTTTTGGGCTGCTTGATCCGGTTGGAATAGCAGAGGACCCATTTTCCATAGAACTTGAACTCCGAGAACTATTGTTTGAGGACTTTGAGTCACTCTTGGTTTCAGTATCACTTCTGCTAAGTGGAATATTACTCACAGATCCACTAATGGTACGCGATGGGCTTTTGACAATTCCTGTTCCTCGTCCTTTTTCCTTCTCTTTGTTAAAGAATTTCAACTTGTCTAGCATAGAGTTTTTGTTTCCTGCTACTGTGGTTGCTGTCGGTTTCTGGAGAGCACTCTTGGAGGACTGTGCAGGAACAGCTTGGTTGGAATTCAGGGTTGGAATACGTCCAGGCTGTTTCTCAAGTCCTGGCTGGGGCGCCCTGTTACCAAGGAGTTTACCCCCAGGGGTGGGAATGTTTGAAGGTACTGCCGATGGGGAAGTGGCTCGATTGGAGAGGCTGTCCCGAGAGTTGACGTTGTTGTTTCTCACAAGAGTAATGGAAGAACCTGTAAGTTAAAAGAAACAAAAAAGAAAGTTAATTTGATAGAAACAGCAATGTGCATAACATAGTCAAAATTCTTTTATTTCTTTTACAATAATATAGCAATAGGAATGTTTTAATATCCAAACACAGTCAATACATTCTGGCCATAATCAATATTTATTGAGAGTTGTATTTTTCATTTTTATTGTCAATGTTTCCATTATTATAAAAAAAAATTATCTACATATTTAAACCAAAAACATTTTGATAATAGTTAATGTATTAGCTGAAAGTACTTGAATACAAATTTCATTTGGACAGTTCTTACACACTCTATGTCCAAAAAAGAAATCAATTGCATGAATGCAAGAAAAATATAATAATAAGCTTAATTGCAGTTGTCCTCATCAGTCATCTTCAATGAAACCTGTATAAAAGAGAGACAGGTACCCAAATACACAATTTTATATGTGTGTGTGTGTATATACATATATATACACACACACATACATGAATAAAGACAAAAGGGAAGCATCTTACATTATTCAGACTGTTGTCCTCATCTTTATTGTCATATTCACAATGTTTTGGCCATTGTACATACCAACCTTCTTCAGGTGATATACATTGGAATTTTGAACAGAACTCTTTATTTCATCCACTGATTGTTGTAATTCCACTTGCCATGCCTTTTCCATATATCTCAGTTTCAGTTATTTCCCTCCAAGGTATTGAACTAACAACTCTTTGCATTAAGTCACTGAATTACTCCAACTAAGGCTTTTATCCACTGAGCCATATGAGGATAACAGTCTGAATAATGTAAGTCGTTACAATACCTCATTTCAGAAATACAGACAGATTATGAAAGAACATCTTAGCCTACATGTTCATTCTCTGATTAACTTTATCAAGGCAAATGTAAGGATTTTATTTTGCAACAAGTATTTATAAACAAAATTAAAAATGTTAATTTTTCAGAATTTTAAAAATTTTTGTCTGAGAAACATTTTTTTTTCAGAATTTTTGTTTGAAAAATTTTTTTTCAGAATTTTTAATTTTTTGTCTTACATTTTTGCTTTTGTTTATAAATATTTGTTGCAAAATAGCAACATTTTTGCTTTTGTTTATAAATATTTGTTGCAAAATAGCAACGTTTTTACTTTTGTTTATAAATATTTGTTGCAAAATAGCAACATTTTTACTTTTGTTTATAAATATTTGTTGCAATTTTGTCTTGATAAAGTCAATCAAAGGGTGAACTGTGTCAAGTAAGGTAAGTTTTCATTTTGTCTTTATTAATATTGCTCTTTTATTTTTAGTTATATATATCTAAAATTTTACATATGTATAATAATATATACATACTGTTTATTCAAGCAGATGTTAAAACAGCATTTATAATTATAAAAAGAAATGGTATATACAAGAGTTCACAGAAAAGAAAAACTTATCTTTTCTCAAATTTTCCAGGATCTTTGGACTGGAATTCAGCATGTTACTTACTCCCCAGTTATTCACTCGTAGATAGATAAGCAGTCAGTATTATGAAAAAGCAAACAGGAAGCAATTCACTCTATTGTGGTTTCATTGGTAGAGGAGGCAAAAATTAAAAATTGTTCTTGGGATTGGTCCTCATAAAACGGGCATTGCCCAGGTCAAGTTAAAACAATGATTAAAAGAAGAAAAAATTTAGGAATATAGTGCAGGAAATGGTGGAGAGGGGGCAGGAAAAGGAGTGAGTGGAAAAGGAAAACCCATCCAAAATTTAAGCCTTTCTTTGGCACAAACATTTCCACCTAAAAATAAAAATGGAAAAATAAAAAAGGAAGCCTGTTTGTGGATCTTCTACATAAGAATTGTTTAGAAGAATCTAAGATATCATTTTTTTTTTTTTATAAGAGCACTTTTTTTTTACAATGATCTTCACCCTGTACAAGGCTCAAGAGCCATTTGAAGTAGATAGTTACTGAGTAAGAGACACCATCCCAAGCAAGATGGTAATGCCACCAAGATGTAAGGGGCCACCAGAAGTCAAAGAGAAGGAAAAAACTTTTAGAAGGAACCAGAAACCCAATCCTAAACAGGAAGCAAGTGATAAACCTCTACTTCTGAACGGGAAACTTCTAGAGAATTGTCTACCCTACAATATTACATCTAGTGATAGGATTTTTTTTTTACTAATGTTCACCCAATACAAGGCCTAAGGGCCACTCAAAGTAGAGGTAACTATGTGGAGTTATATTAACATAAGAAAGGGCAAGATAACTGGAAAGATGGACAGCTAATTCTAGGGTATAGAGTTGAAGTAGACTTTAGAAGAAACCAGAAACCCAATCCTAAACAGGGAATAAGGGATAAACCTCTACTCCTGTTCAAAAGACTGGAGAGGAGTGTGAATTGCATGATAGGCAAACCTATCTACTCCTGTTGGGAGAGGAAATAAATAATAATTACTGAATAAAATTTCAGGTGGAAATGTCAGAAGTACAGAGTTGAATGAACTGGAAACACAACCCTAAACATTAAACAAGGTAAAAACCTCTACCCCTGTTCAAAAACTCAGGGAGGAATATGAACCAGTTGATAGGCAAACTTATCTACTCCTATTGGGGAAAGAGAAAAATGTAATTGGTGAAAAATAATTCAGAGTTCAGGTGCAGATGTTAGAAGTATAGAGTTGAAGTAGACTTTAGAAGGAACTGGAAACCCATTCCTAAACAGGGAACATGGGTTAAACCTCTACTCCTGTTCAAAAGACTGGGGAGGAGTGTGAACTGGACAATAAACTTATGAAATATGCAGCAGAAATCAATCTTTCTTGTACATATATTGGATAGTTTTATTAATGTTTTAATTTGAGATTAAAATTTGATTTAAAATTTCTTTGAATTTTCAATGTTAAATTTGTTTCTTTTTATGAGACTGAGATTTTGTCCACTTTTGGGATAAGAGGCTGGTTTTTTGTCCTAGTTTTCCAAAACATATATGTACAGCACTTAAAAAAAAAAAAAAAACACATCTCTGTTAATATTAACTTTTAAGATGAATCTTTATAGTAATAAGTGTTTATAATGTCAAACAAGCACAAACACAAGGACTAGAGTATTTAAAAATCAGAACAAAAAAAAAACATAAATGAAAACTTATGAAAAGTAATTAATTCAGATCTTAAAAAAGAGGAAGTTAACAAGTTAACACACCCACACACACAACATATGTCTAAAAATGCTAGTACATAAACATTAGGTCTCTCCCCAGGGCTGAGGATTTTCTCTCATGTATGCTCCACCTATTTTTTCCCTTAAGCACTTCCTAGTCAACCATACTTAGTACATGACTAATTTATTTAAACACATCAATGACTGAACCACATACTTCCTAGAATTCTCAATACATAGTTGATTCAAATTCTACTTCTTTTGCATACTGCTTCACTAATTTCCAGATTTCTCTTCTCTCACAGAGAAAATGCAGTTATTATTATGCTTAATTAAATTTGTCTTAAATTATGGTAAAAAGATTCAGTTAAGCTAAAATTTTCTACAAGTATTTTTCAGATATCTTGCTCTTTATAAAAATGGCATTTATTTTTCTTTGAGACTGTTCGTTTTAAAAAAAAATGTAAGTTTTAAGTTGAAGTGAGTAAAATGACTCTAAAAAATGTGAAATTGGTTTCCATTTTAAAATTTCAAAATGATCGCTGACTTTGTGTTTAACATGATAGAATGTTTAATTTACAAAATAAATATACAACTAAAAGGGACCAGATTTGTGTCTGTCTTTATGCAAATATGTGGGTAATTTAAAAGTACAGAAGTCTAAAAAGAAAAAAAATATCAATATACTAGAGTTAGGGGTTTAGGTAGTGATCAGAGCTGGGGATTTTAGGGTTTAGGGTTTTTCTAACTGAAAACAGAATTCTTAATCACAAAGAAAAAAATGCAATACTAGCTTTTTTGATTTTTACAGAAAAAGACCCATTATTTCCATAAAAACAGACACAAAGTAAGGACTAAACTTACATTTTAAATTTATTCAAAGTAAAGGTACCTTTACAAAGAAATTAAGCTTAGCTTAGGTTAGATTTTACAATATACTGAATTTTGTATGGAGCACCCAGTAAGAATCAAACTGATGACTCAGTAGTAATGGCAAACCAGATGTGTCTGATTAACCATTACCCTATTTAATTACATTGGCTGATTTTAATACATATCAACATTTGTTGTCTTATTTAATATTGATTTCTGTATGGGGCACCCAGTGAGAATCAAACTCGCTACTCTGTAGCAATGGTTAATGAGATGTAAAGTAGCTGTAATCCCCTTTTCTCAGTGTCTTGTAGCCCAAGAACCGATGTGTACCATCTGATAACATTTCTTTAACATTTATTGTGGGGTGTAGGGGTGTAGGAGAGATAGATATTATGGTTTGAAAAGGAAAGAACATTTTTAGTCATTCAGGAACTGTTATATAGTCAGATGCTTCCAACTCCAGTGGAGGATAATTATTCTGCATTTCTTTACATGTCACATACATAAAATAACACTTAATACCAGGATACAAAAAGACCATTTTTTTCTTGATTCTATTTTGCATATATATAGTAAAATCACTAGGAATACATTTACATTATGCATATAACAGCACTATCCTGTCTATAACACTTATTTTAATATCTAATTACTCATTTTTAAAACATAACATACAAATTGAATATCAAAATTTATGAAAATAAAAAGGAGGTCAAAAATGGTAAAATCTTGTGCTTAATCAAATATTTCCCTAATGACAGGCATATTTAATTGTTACTACAAAGAGTGAATAACACTAATAATGGTGTAGTGATAAAGACTATGGTTAGCAATAAGAAAAGCTGAAAGCTTATATATATATATATATTTATATATATATTGGGTTTAAAGGCAGTGTGTGCTAAAATACAAACATGACTGTTTCATTTAGAGTAATATTCAAAATTTAATAATTAAAATGCCTAATGCATAAAGATTTTAAAGG